ATCAATTGAAGAAAAGATGGCGAAAAGTCGAAGGTGGAAAGATTTATGATCGGTTTTCATGTTTGAGGAAAGTGATTGTGAGTTGCTGACCTTGATGTGAAGTGAATTAAAAAACGCAGACCTTTGATAACGGAAAACTGAACACGGGTGGTCAGGGGTAAAGAAAAAAAAACAGCGCGGAACAGTGAAAAAAGTGCGAATCAATTATGATTAATGTAGAACCAGGACGTAATTTCATTATCCCTAAACATTTCACTTATCCCTTATGCCCAAAATAATTTTGTCAATTATTCCTTATCCTTTAAAATGTTTGGCCGGTTATCCCTAATCCAGGACCCCACTTGTACCGTAAATACTCTATTAAGCCCCTCCACCCCCTTTTTAAAGGAAAGTTAATAAGCCCTCCCTTCTCTATTAAGCCCCCTCCCCCCTCCCCTCCATCCTTATTCCTCACAAACAATTAACGTTTACTGATCAGTTAAGTTTTATTCAGGATGGAAATTCATATTGCTTTTGGTCTTCGGTGTCATGACCTCCAACTTTATGTGCTTAACTTTTTCAACTTGACGCTCTAGTACTAGTTCTCTGTGGAGAATTGTTACCCAGATTTTCTTATGGTTAGAAAAAGACAGTATAACGCCCGGGAACCACAAGTCCGTCCTCCGCGAGAAACCTTGCTCCCGTTGATGCTTTTCGCTATATTTAATACCCTACTCTTTATTAAGCCCCCCCCCCCCTCCATCAAAAGTGCTTTAAAAAATGGATTTACGGTATACGTATTTCCCGCCCTTTCTTCCAAAATAAAAAATTGCGCGCGCAGTTTCCGATCCACAGGAAGGGGGCTGGAACCGAGCAGGAACGTCAACTCGATCGAAGAGGTAGAAGCCATCATTTTAAAAAGCTATTTGTAACCACAGAAATGAGCTGAAAGCCTATTAAGAAATGCTTGCAAGATTAGCTTGGTGGCTGGTGTAGCTATTTTGCTTCAGAGTAATATCGAGGCACTTCATCTCTCGCGTGATATACCCTGTTTGAAGGAATGAAAAAATGTCCGGGATCATTGGCAATATGCAAGCCGACGCAAGATCGCGATCTTATGAGTCCATCAACACTAAGGTGAGACGTTTTGACTTACTTTTACTATGAACGGTCAGGTAATGTTTTTTTTTCCTGTTGTGGCTTTAAAAATGTTTGAAAAAATTCAGTACCTTTTAAATTTTACTACGCGACGTTCGAGAAGCAGATGGCGAGCCCGCACGTAATTGGTCAAAAGTCCTTTAGTGAGCCTAACTTTTAATTTATCTGAATTTATATAGGCTTAAATAAGGTTTATTCTTTCGTGTTGATATAGCGTTAAATCATAGGTTTCGTAGGTGGTTTTTCTACCCTTAAGTCGAACACTCCGTGTGCGTTTTCAGTTGTATTGTACATTTAAAAATAACTTAGTTGTAAATAAATGTTGAAAATTTCCATGGTCATTGATCATGATCCTGGGATGTTTTTCCCATGCTGGTTTGTACATGCTACATTATTAATGATTTTCCGGTGTCGGTACAACTTTCATTTTCTCTTTTGTTAAAACTGAATTTTGAAAAAGAAACATCTTAAGATAAATTCTAGAATGAAAAAATGTGTTCCATTTTAGTCAATTAACTTTAAGTGAGTAAATTAAGTAGCCTTAAAACTTACTTCAGATTAAACATCACATCAAAATGGTTTACCTTTCGATTTCCTTCATTCAATGTTAGAAAATAAATAAAATCTTTTCCTTTTCTGGGATTGATTTTTTTTGGGTCGAATGTCTTCAAACTTGTATATGAGACCTATTTAGATGTTAGTTTGTATTACATTGAGATAAAAAAGCCTAAGCCTTCCAAGACTTGAAAGAGTTCTTGTGTGCAATAGTAAGAGATAGTTTGATATAAACTTTAAATTTTCAATGTAAATCCAAAGGCCACCCAGTAAGTTTATATGTTTCCATTCAACTGCATCATCCTATAAAATTTGAGTAACAGTTAGTTTTGACAATGGCACAGCATGGAGTATGACTCTGATTCAGACATCGTATCAGACTCCAATTCATTTAAAGAAGCAGTGAAGTTGTCAACAAATGCTTACGATGGTATAGTATTTTAAATCATATAGATTTATTTTTTGGCTGGTTCCTTACTCTAGCACAACCTTTTTTATCATCACATGATATGGTTATGTTTAAGGCAGACCTTGGCAGAGCTAACTGCATGATTTGTGAATCGAAATTGGAGATTTTTGGCTCAGTCGTACTGTTGGAACTGTAATCAACATTAATTTAACTGTATGGATTCACAGCAATTCTTGAATTCTTTTGCACACCAGTTTCTAAACATGGTCAGCTAGGTGAAACACATGAAATCCATTAGGCTTATAGGACTAACTGATTTATTACTCTAAGTAACAGTGCTGACTTATGAGAAATCTCATAACATGTTGCTAGTTTCATAGTTATAAGGATCTTACATCCTACTAGATTGAGACCTTTGGTATCAGAAATGCTGAAAAGCAAAATGTGAAAAGAAACTGAAAGTATAGAGAATAAGTTGAGAATTCACTAATTGGGGCAATGAATGGTAGCATAGGTGTATATATTCTTTAATAACAATTAAAACATTTTTTTTATAAATATGCTAAACGTTCTCAATAACTAACATTACTTTTCAACACCTTTCTAACAGGCTTTGGTCATGAATTCACTGTCACTTAAAATGTTTAGGCCAGAGCTTTTACAAAATAATAAATTTTCTCAATAATATTGTGCTTTACCTACATAATTTAGAGTGACCAAAAACTCATAAATTTTGTCTCTGGGCAGAAAGTAGATTGTAATGGAGATGAAAATGTTTAATGTTTACTTGATTAATGTTCATATAAGTACGAGGGCTTACAGTATTTGTATTCATTAAAAAGTACACCACTTTTGTAAGTTGTGGGTTTGTACAGGTATATTAAAGTAAGAGCAAGCCATGGTTTATGTTCAAACCATGACTGTGTCTTTGTGCCGTTAAGTGTAAGAGGGTGACATAAAATAGCTCCCTACAATTTTAAATTGAAACTGTTTTTTTTTTCACAGGCACGTATGGAAACCACGTTTGGAACTTCTGCATTTTCACCAGTGACTACAATAACAAGGGGTAATGGCATTTTGTGATGTTGATTTAAATTGAAGTTTTTCAATCTGCTTGTGCACATTAGTAATTCATTGACAGATGTCATAAATTGAGCTATACACTATTGTGGTCAAACTAACAAGATCTTGGCTGTTACTAAAGGAGGGATTTCCCTTGGATTCTAAAGGATACTAGACCACATGAACTTCCCAGCGGTTCAATTTCACCCCCCTCTTAAGCAGTGGCAGATCCAGACCTTCAGATAAGGGGGGGCCCAGCCATCCAGGTCCGGAGATAACTGGGGGCCCAGTCTCCAAAAAAATTTTTTTTCAGCCTTGGTCTAAAAATAAAGAGGGGGGGGGGAGCAGGCCCCTCCCCTAGATCCGCCACTGTCAAGTAATTGAATATACGTTGTACATGGCAACTTGAAATCTTGGTAGCCTAAGTATCAGACCTTCCTTGATGCCCTGTTAGTATAAAATTCCGACAAACAACATGGTCTTGAAACAGTGACATAAAACAAATGAAATGGCGACAATCAACATGAAGATAGGTTGAGACTGTGACAGCAATGAGGACAACTGCAAATACAACAGCGAAATACTGACAGTGACGTGGCCTTCTCCTCAGAACACGAAAAGTGGCCTTGAAGTTCAGACTATGGACATACATACCCCCTCCTAAGACGGAGACACACAGTACCCTCTGTTGTCCATTCCTAACACTGCAAATTAACATCTTTCTTTTTGTTTCCCATGAAAACAGCCGGCAGGTCATGCTCATACAGGGTTGTCATTAAGAGCCGGGGGCCGGGGATTTTCCCTGGCTACTAAGAGAGTGGCCCCCGGCTACTTTTATTGGAAAATAGAAGAAAAATAGAACCAAAAGAAATCCCTAGCTGTTTGATTTCCCCGCCTACTTGTTGTGTTTACCCGGCAACTTGAAATCTTAGTGACAACCCTGCTCATAGTAGTTGGGGGAAATCTGTGTCCCCTGTACTTAGTGACAGCCCTGAATACTAATGCAAACTCTCTGTTAATATTAGATTTTTTTAAAATTTTTTTTATTATTTTCTTTCATTTCACATTACATTACATTACAATATCAACTCATTAATATTCCTATATAGTACATGCACTGACAAATACCAGACTAAAACTTCACAAAATTACAAATACAAAAAGAAAACATACAGTTTGAAACATAAGCTACTAAAGTATTTATAAGAAAAGAGAGCAGGGCCAATTTTGAAAAATTAATAATGCGAAAGTGCAAAAAATAAAATGTATATACCTGATTAATGTGTATATTATGTATGTATTGGGTGGCAAAAACTAGATTTAGCCAAGGCCAAAAGCAAAGCTCTCATGGGAACTTTTAAGAAATGTCTTTCTGAACTTAAAGTTTTCTGATATCTAAGCCTGCGATCACTTGAATACCATAACTGGTCAGTGGAGAATTAAAAAAAAAGTTGTACGTCTGGGCATAGGACACTGGTCAGCGAATATCCTATTTTGACAACTGCCAATTGATTATAACATGGATTTCCAAATCAAATTAAAACAATAATATTTGTATATACCTTGGACTTTTAATTTAGTAAGACATTTCAAATCCTCTAACATGAAGAGGCAGACATACATATGGATGGATGGACATTGGTGCAGATGATTTGGTCAGAACCAAAATGTCCTGGATGCATAGATAACCAAATTTTCTTGCCCATAGTGCTCGGCTGCGCATGCTTTGTACGCTTTTCACATGCAAGAGCTCTACTTAAGAATATATAGAATTCACCCAGGTATTTAATGGTGATTTATCACTTATTTTTTGGTCTTCATCAGGAATATTATTTTGATGCGTTTGCATCTTTTTTCCTTCTCAGTTGATGGTGATCGTGATGTTAGCCTTAAGAGGAATCAGTCCAATAGTATGATATGTGTGTCATCAAGTAATAGCACTAGTGGACTGGGAAGAGAAGGAGATGTCAATGTCACTGTAGGCTCAGATCAGGTACAAAGTGTATTCTGCTATAATTAATGATACATGAATATACAATGGCCCCTAATTAGGATATGAATCAGCTAATTGAACCACTGAATTAACTTTTTGCAATGGCCACTTTGCTCCTATCTACAATTGCTGCCAGGGTATATAGGATAAGATAGCTTATTATTAGTCACATAATCATCTATCACCTTAACATACAGTGCTGTATACAGGTGGTAGGTCCAGGCCTCTTTCCCTTTTCACTGTGGGACTTAGTTGTACATGGATGATCATGTGAGCGATAAGCTAAGACATTGAGATAATGCTCTGAAAGATTTCACTGTGCCTAAACTTTTTACTCTAAGTCAGCATTTATTATCATGGTCTTTCCAGAGCACAAAAACAATCATTTGTGAATGTAACATGGTTTTATTCTGTTAAGTGTGGCTTTTTTTCATAATATAATGGTGGCTATTATCCTAGCCTCCTACAGAGACATGTTACATAGTCATGTACGGCTTTATCATGCATATCCTTCCTCAACAAATAGTGTTCAGGCAAGTCTGTCACTATAATTAAGGACCAAGGGTTTTTGGATTTCCCTTGTCTGCTCTAAGCATCACCCGGTGCTACTTTTATACCAGAAATATGTTTAGCACAACACCTCACGAAGCTGTGGTGAGGGGAAGCAATATGACTAAATTGAAACCAAACCAGTGCACGAAACTAACTTTTTTAGTCAGTTGTCCTGAGAATAGTAGTGGGTGGCATCTACTAGTCCTGAAGGCAATTCTACTAGTCCTGTCTACCATCCATCATCTGGCTACAAAGATGTAATTCACACATTAAAAAATCATAGTAAAGCATGACTCACTTTTTAAATTGTAATAATAAACACTAATGAAAAGTATAATCTTTTATCTTGAGTTTCTTTGGCTATAAGAAATTATTCATTGCTTCCTTTGCAGAAAGACGAATTTTCATTTTTACTGTTTGGAAAATTTACACAATACTTGCAAAACATTTTCCCTTCGGTTTCCTTGCAAACTATAAACCACACAAAATCCTTTTCCAAGCTGGTTTGAAGTCTCTATCTTTGTTTGCCTTTTCCACTCTTGTTGGCCGGGAATCACCTGTATTACTAGCGTTTTCTTCATCTTTCCTTTCTTCATCTTCCCTGCCCCTTTTGACATAGCGTAACAAAGTCACAGCACGAGAGGCCGCCATTTTCATGACATTTTTAGGAGTTGCATGACGTTTGCATAACGTTCAATTTGCAGCGAAGTTGACTGACAGTGGACTGAGAACCAAACCCGGCCCATTCACTCACTGTTTTCAAAATGGCGATTGTAAATGCGGAAATTATGAGCGTAGACAACATGATTAAAAGAACAATTTTATAATATTACCTGCTGATTTAACAAATGTGAAACCAAGATCCACAGGCTAAAACGTCCACTGACGTCCATGAGAATGACTAACTCAAAATTCTACTCGTTTTGTGGCTAATTTTACTCTTTTTTGACAAGTGAACGACCGTTAGTTTCGAGCACTGCAAACAATAGGTAAAATATGGTAAAAACAAAACGAAACAAGAAAACAAAAACAAAACAACCAAAAAGAAAAGAAAAAAATTTCCCCCGGCGGGAGTCGAACCCTGGACCATTAACGTGTAAGGTCATCGCCTTGTCTATTGCACCACGACACTAATTGGTAAACATGCTTGGTAAATTAATTTTGTTAAACATTTTTGCCCATGAAATTCTACGGGTAGATGTTGTTTGAAGGTGGTAGAGCTGCATTTATCAAGAATTTAAAGAAGTAGTCAAGGAAAATAAGAAGGGTTTTTGCGGTAAAAGCTGTACTTTAACTCATTGTTCATCACATTTGAAGAGCATATGGCAGACAAAGCAATATTAAGTGTCTCGCAAAACCATTGCAAAGTCTCTTGCTGACAGTGTTGTACAGCTTGCGATTCTCTGCATTTACATGAGATTAAGAACTGGTCACGATTCAGCAACAGTAAACATTTTTTTCACAGAGAATGAATAACCATATCCGCCTTTCATCTCCACGGTTTCTTGTTGGTGTCTCATTGGTTGTTCATGGCTGAATTTCAAGCGGCCATTTTAAAGTGTTGCCTGGAAACCAAAAAGTGCTCCTAGACTCAACATTAGAATAGATGACATCAATTGGAGCTTAGTCATGACATCATTGCTAGATATCTTGCGGAAACCAAACCCATAGAGAGAAAGATTTATGACCAAAGCAAAATGACACTCCGCTTGGGATCCTCGTGTGATCGGGAAAATTATAAACTCGCTTTCAAGAGGAATTAAACAAATTAAAAGAAAAATAGAAACAAAAGAACTTCCTATGCCTAGTTCAGTTTCCCCACCTTCCTTTAGTAACTTGAAGTCTTAGTGACAGCCCTGTGTTTATGAGGGAGGAAGGAATGTGAAATGAAGCCCTGCTTTAATCTCCCTAAACTGGCCATCCAGCTATTTCATGTACATATTACTTACTTAGAGACCCAAATAAGGCTGGCAGCAATGTGGAAATTTTGCTGTTTTATTTAAGGGGAGCTTTGATGCTGTGTGTTTTAAACGTCATAACCGAACATCATCAACAATATCAGCTCGTTCTCATCATTCTATTTCAAGCTGTGCTGAAGAGGAGGAGGAGGTTTGTTATACACTAATATAATCAAGTCATATTTTTCTTCACCATCCTGCATCCTTTATTCTGCCAACACTGGAATTTAGGGGAGAGTAAAAACTGACATTTTAAAAATGATGTTATATTCAAATATAACAAATACACCTGTATTCTACAGTTCTATTCAAATATCAATAATTTAAATTGATAAATCTGTATTTAAAGTCCAAGGCAATAACTTGGCTATGCAGTTGACTGGCATGTTGGATACTTATTGTCCTTCTGTTCCTTGGTAGTATATTAATAACACTGTTGCACATTGCAGGCAGTTGTGTTGTTTGTGGATGAGCCATCATCTAAGTTGTTCTGCACTTTGTGTCAGCGTGTGTTTAAGGATCCCGTCATAACATCATGTGGGGTGAGGATAATGTTCTGTTTCTTGAACTTACTGTTGGTAATGATAGCACTTTTCACTACTGAGACTTATGCAAAATGGCCAGTAAAAGCTTAGTTTTTGTCAAGTCAGGGTAGCCTTTAAACCATAGCTAGTATTTCACCATGAGGAACAACCATTCAGATCTAGGTAAGTGACACATCATCCAGAATGGAATGGTGCTTGTTCCTGTGACATCATGAAAGTGGAAACATCAGGGAAACGGAAACACCATGGTGCCTTTAAGAGCTACTCAACATTGTTTAAAGCCATTTCAAACCCCATGAAACTATTTTGTAATTGGTCAATGTTGATACTCCAAATATGACGCGGCCAGCTAAAGTCAGGCTAAGGAAAATGTAAGTAACGTTAGGTCAGTGGCAATCATGTGCACCTGGTTTAAGGAAAAGTCAGCAAATATTGTAACAGTTGGCAACCCTAAAATTCATCTTTACTTTGTTCTGAACGAATTTGTTCCTGTTATGGTTAGTTTAGTCAAAGTCCATAATTATGTTACTTTTAACAAGGACACTTTTCTGTATCTTGTTATGCTTATATTGCTGTTTCGTACGTACCGGTATTGTATGTATGTAGTTTTTATTTGTTCTTTGTTGTTGTTTTATTTTTTAGCATACCTTCTGTCGAAATTGTGTCCTTTCAAGAGCCTTGGAAAAGTGTCCAGTTGATGATAATAAGCTTTCAATAGTTGTTGCTAACCTTGCTGTAAGTGCATCTATTTATAACAAGAACAATCTTTATAAGAAAACAACCACAATTATCCATTGCCTACACTTTTGTGGACATATAAATAATGTCAAATAATCAAATTTCACAGGCTTGCGGTTTTTACTGCAAAGTTTGTTGTCACCAAATGTTTTTGATCTGTATGTTTATATATAACATTTATTTTCATTGTTTACCCAGTTTAGTTGTGTTTGCTTTCCAAGGCAAGTTCATGGACATTCAAGTGTATCATTATATAGACGCTTGACTTTATCCCCAGTGGTTCTCCATTCATGAATTAGTTTGGAAGCAAGAAAGCTTTTTAGCTGCTTGAATACAATTTGAAGTTCTTCAGACATTCCATTCAATGTTTTTCAAGTTTCTCTACCTGTAATCAGTGTTCTCCAGAAAATTTATTGAAGAAGGAGAAAAAAGTTGAATATGCAGCCAGAGATTAGATGAAAAAATGCTTGTGGGTGAGAGTAAATAAACTTAAATCATGTGGAAAGGGCTATCACCTCAATCCCTCTAGTGGTGGGGTAATTGGGCCACCCAGGGGAAAAATTTAATTAGGGGGCCCCTAAATTTCCACGCATTTTCTTGAGTGACCAGGGAAGAAATTTAAGCCATGAGGATGTGGTACCTTATTTACCCATATTTGCTTTATTTTATATCATATTTTCTTTCATCTAACAAAACATGTTGCAAAAAAAAATTGACAAATTTACTATCCTCCTTAAAAATAATTTTCTGTTGCGGCCGTGCTACTGGAACGACTAGATGGTGATTTTTATTAGTATTTTGTAAGAATTTGCTTACCTTTTTTTGCTTTATATTATTGCCAGGTATCTGAGCAGATAGGTGAACTTTACATCCATTGCAAATATGGGTGTAAATTAAAGTCAGGAACACCTTACGATTACGAAGTGAATACTGCTGGCTGTCCTGTCACATTTAAACTCTCCAACAGGCAGTAAGTACATTAAAGTTTTTGTAATATTGTGATGTAATAGCTGGGATGGATGCTGGTAAGGAAACTGACGACGACAGTTGAAGACTTTACCGATAATACCTTACTCTGCATTCTTTCAATCTTTCCCATGATGTATTTGTGTGTTGAAGTGTGCCATAGGACTTTGCTTAAATTAGAAATTTGTTGAACTATTGAAGTTGGGTGGCAAAGCAAGTTACCATTGTTATTGATTAAGGTCTGTGCTGGACCGTATGTTAACCTTGTGGACTTTTTGTCTTGTCATGGTGAAAAACTTATCTTTGTAATGGAAATGAAATGCAAATTGGAATTGCAGGGCAGTTTTTTCTCCCGTTTACATGTTTTGTGTTCCTGGCAGTTTTTGCTTGATAATCCCTCTTAGTGTCCTTGTTTTGCAAGAAGATAGATTTTTTGACAAAATAATTTATTTACCTGTGTGTTAGTGATCATGAAAGAAACTGTCAATATGCTCCAACTCAGTGTCCTAACAGTTCACAGTGTCCAGTGTTACTCAAAATGGTAAGTGTACATGCAGTGTTCTTTAGTTGGAAACACATTTGACAATTTATAATACTGTCACTTCACTTGACACTTTCCGTATATGTTGTTGTATAAGTAGAGTGAAGAAAGTTTTTGTTCTAAGAGAACTACTTTCAAAGACTTTTCCTAGACTAGGTTTTATGCATGCAAATTGACTTTTACAAGCGTGGTTGCAACTTCTCACAGTCAATGATGGCCACAGGTTAATGTAACTCTATGAGCAGATATATATGTAAATTTGTTTAATTGGAAGATTTTTTAACCTTCTCAAAGAGTAGGCAGCTGGCAGTAATTAAACTAATTCACATCAGGTTGAGGTAGTGGTTTTCTTTTATTTGTGGTTTCGTCGTCCAAAAAAGAAGTTTTGAAACTTTAGCAACTGGACAACTGAGATGCTATTTACACAATGTTTTTTTTACTTCTTCAGGACCTTGACGATCATTTGCAAGTTTGTGAGCACATGAGATGCCCCCATCAAAAATATGGGTATGTTAAGCTCACTTATAACAAATATGAAAAGCGTAAAATGTAAAGAATATGACACATAAGAAAAGGATGTAGAGGTGATCAGTTTTGAGGATAGAATACTAAGCCATAACCCAAATTAGGGAAGGGGCAACCAATCAAAGTGGGTGAATTGAGAGTGAATGATAGATGGTAGACAAAGGTAAACATGTAAACCAGTTGGTCCCCCAACAAGCTCAATGAGGTACCTTGCAGTGTGTTGGGCAACCATCTGGCGTTGGTTGTTCAGATGCTGGATAGTACTATCTTTTGGATAAATCACTATCCAGTGATAAGTATTAAGGAAACCAATAATTGCACTGTCCACTGGATAGAGATTTATCTGGTGGATAGCACTATCCACCTTGTGAACAACTGTGGACTGGTCTTTATCTATTTACTATTTACTTGAAACTATAATTTTCAGTCACCCTGAAATCTTAAATGTTGCATTTTCCATAAAACTTAACATCCCCCTCCATTTCTCTTCAATTTAAAAATCATTTTAAGAATCATCTATAATTCTAAAACATTTTTTAAAAATATTGTTACAAATACCCAACCCAACTGACCTATTTTGGGATAAAATGAAATCTCACCGAGATTTTAGACGGTAATAGTAGAACATTAATTTTGGTCGTAATGTACCATTATTAATAATAATAATAATTTATTATTATTATTTTTTCAATAAATATAAAGTATAGGTCAGAATTAGTATCGGTGTTATTGTCATCTGCTGACAAGAGATCCGAGAACTCACCCAGACAATATGGCGGTTCACTACAAACACGTTTTATTGATCTATGCATGCGCATGTAATTACTATATATGGTAAATGCACAGGGCGACCATAACAGTTATTATGAATGTCAAAGGTAAATAATTGTCAATAATGTTGTGTAAATAATGTGCCGCTCTGCTGTTTTTTTTTTTAAGGTGTCATATGGAGGGAAACCATAAAGAAGTTCGACTCCATCTTGAGACATGCAAGTTTGAAGCTGTCAAGGTAATTTAATATGGCGTTTTGTAAGAAATTCTCGGTAGATATTGAAACTGACATACAGTGGAACCCGGCCATACAAACTCGTTATCCTTTGTTAGTGTGCAATTCATAGTTAAGAAAGTGTTAGTATCGCAACGTGACTCTACCTGACAGGGTCGGTCAGGGTTTTTGGGTATACGGTATATTGCAGCTTAAATACGGGTATTCGGTATATCACTTTCTTTGAATTTCAGGTATAAAATATACCTGGGTATAATTTTGGGTATATTTGGATGAATTTTGGGTATTTTTGGGTATTTTGGCGAATTTTTTTTGGGTATACTGGTATACCACTACCCCTCCTGGCCGACCCTGACCTGATTGCTTATGAGACCACCCTGCCGGTATATAATTTTGACCATATCCAGACGACGATCGAATAGTATCCCATGATGCACCTCGATTCATGTTATATTATCACTGCGTACGTGACACATTATGATCAGTAACCTTCAGCAAGCGCGAAGTGAACATCGATCGCAGTGGACGATGTGGATGGTTTCCAAACATGTTTCGGTTCAGCAGCTTCTGCTTTTGAGATTATCGAGTTGGCTAATATTCACTGTGCTTTAAAGGAGAATTTCAGCGTTGCTTTGACTGAGAAGGGTTTTACATGTATTTCACTGATCTGTCGAGAACTACTTGTGCCGCGCTCGGTCGCACTGTAAACACAAATTATAAGACTCGCAATTGATAAGCTTCGCTAGGTTCACTAGGAGAACCCAGGCCAGAGGAGAACCAAAACTATGACTGATCTATAAAGTGGTTCCAACAAAACATCCGCTACGCTGTGAAGCTAATTACCAAAGGATAATTTATCACAGCATCGCGCTCAAAGGAGCTGAAGTTTACAATGGCAGTTACAAATAAAATTTAACCTATCGATGCGACAAACAATTCTCTGAAGCACAGTCTACCCGGTACTGACTCTAGCAATCTTCAAGGAAATTTCCTGGCCAGAATACTGATCTGTTCTTTTGAATAAATAAAGTTTCTGCATGATGTTTCTTTTTCAAATTCTGAGCAGGCTTCAGTTTACGTTGTGCCGGCTTGCATGCTGCGTGGTTCCTTTCTTTGGGTTCTTTTCACACTGAAACACACCGTTATACACCGCTCCTTCGTCGAATTAAAATAATTATAGTCAAATTCCTTTTAAAAATAACCTCTTTGAAAATAGCAAAGTGATTGCTTCGGCATAAAGCGCTCTCAAAAGCGCTCAACAGATTGTAGCCTTCATCAGGCTTTACACATATATTATGACACATGGCGTTGAAATGTGATAAAAGATTCGAAATTTCAGCCATCTTTGGTCGACAAAAAAGTCTTCAAAATGTGGGTACTTCTGGGTACTTCTTGGCCTGTACAATATTCAGGACTTCATTTTGCTGGCGTGAGGTCCACATTTGTAAGATTTCAACATATATTCCAAAAAACCTTGAATATTCATGACCTGGTTGTGGGTCACTGAACACTTTGTGATGGGAAGACTAATTGAAACCGTTAAAATAAATGTTTCTAAGTGGAAACTTCGCTCTTAAGCGATTGCAAATCGGAGAAATCATGTCAAATAACGAAATAATGTAATTTTTTTACTTTTACTGGAAATCGAGTGAGAAAAAAGCCGACGAGAAAACGACCTTATTTCAAGAAGGAATCTGCTATGACTACGATATTGCGTGATGCTTCTAGAAAAATGCATCATGGGATACTATTCGATCCTCCTCTGGACCATATCTAAGATCTCCAATAACTGGGAAGGAGGACTTCGTGTGAAAGGGGCGAGGGAGATGTTCATCGTCTCGAGTAACGGTATGACTTGCATATTTTGATATGACTTGGGTTGTTCATAGGCGTCCAAACATTCTTATTCATGCAGGTATCCCCTTTTGGCTGCACATGAAGAAATAAGAGAAAGAAAGAAAGCATTCGATGACGATGTCTTTTTATCGGAATATTGAAATCACTATAATTCTTATTTCGCTGTCTGTTTGAGAATGATATACTTTAGGGGTCAAACAAAGCTTAACCCGCAATAAAGAGAGACTTGTCCATCTGATACAGATTTTTAAAAGTAATTTGTTTAACCACGAATAAATTAGTTTTATCAATTTTTTATTTTATTATTTAACAGGAATTCCTGCAGCACTCAGACAAGCGAGTGGAAGAGGTAAAGATGGCGCTGAAAGATAAAGATCAGGTATTTTCTCCAGATAAGTCCTGTTTGTGTGCCTTGAAATAACGGTCGGCTCTGTTTCCTTGGTTAAGGAAAGAGTGACCTTGGTCCCAGACATTTGTCTTGAAATTTGTCTCAGCATGAGAGAGAGAAAGAGAGAGCGAACCGCGAAAAGGCGAAAACGAGTCGCTTCGCTCGCTCTCTCGAACGCGGGTAAAATTTTCAAGAAGAACCTCTGGGACCCGGGTAGGACAAAGTTCATTTTAAATATCCATCATCCCTCCTCTGTTGATCTTATTTTGTGACCTGATTCCCTTTAGGAAATTGTATTTCTTAAGGCGATGATAGTAAAGTTAAATGAGCGAGTGGACAGAATGGAAAAAACTGTGGATATCAGAATAGGTGAGAGTGCAAATGCCAGTTTTAATTTTCTCAACTATTTAGGACAAGAGTGGGGTTTACCAGCCGTTTTTATACAATGCATTTCGAAATGTGGTCGTTTCGATACAAGTTAAATAATTGCGCGTGGTTGGCCTAAAGAACAAGGAATATTCACGCCATATGGTTTTTCCGCGTAATTGATCGTAATATTTGTTGCGCACAGTTCGTGTCGAAAAGACTTGTATTGAAACGACTGGTTTCTCTTTGTACTGTTGTCTTCCTAGTTTACTACTTATCTTTGAAAAAAACGCGCTGTTTTTAGCACTGATTTATGGTCGAGATTTTTGTCAATTTTGTTGGATGCAAGGTATGACTGGTGTAGACGTTGGGGGCCTTGTTATTTAACGAAATTTCTTGCAATCTTTTTCACAATTTTGTTTAGCCACAAGTTGCGCGAAAATTCTTAGTGTTAAGATTGAACGTCGCACAGGACTTTACTTGTAACATTTTTGTTTAAGCAAATGCTGCTTTGAAGTGAAATCAAGTTTTACTTCTCGCAACAACGTCGGTATAAACGCTGTGAGGATTTTTGTAAGGATGCTATGAAAATTGTAGGAGGCAATCTGTCTCGCAACGCGCAGCGTTATAATTTGCGGCGGAGATGATTTGCAAGAGAACCTGGCTAGTTTAACAAGGCCTTGTAAGTGTTTTTTTTTTCATGCATTTTTTTCGTACATAGACCTTCTCGATGAAAGCCAAACAAAATTGTCCTCAGATTTGCTGGATTCAAGACAAAGTATTTCACAAATCCAGGTAATTTACATCATTATCAGTAAAGAATGTCAGAAGTGAACTCAAGAAAATGTTGGAAGTATTCTTACTAGTACTGTGTACAATCTTTTGTTTTAAATTAAGCTGGCTCTTTAAATGTAACTCGTCCTCTGGACTTCAGTTTTCCTTCAACATGCTTGGAATTTTGTATAGCTTTGTGCACAAAATGCCTCATAAACATTTACTTCTTTCTTCATTTTGAATATTTTTTTTGGTGGCCATCTTTGTTAGGTTCTTTGTGCTTCCCTTTTTAGGAACTCGAAAAGTCAAAAGTGTGTTTATGATGTGGCTCTTAAGGCCCTATTACTTTACGCAATTTTTTCTTGCTGCTTCTCTCCCAATTTTGTTGCGCTTTTGCCAAACAAATTTTTACCTTTGTTTCGAGTAAATAGAGAGTTTAATCTTCAATAATACGGCAAAACGGCAGATTCAAGTTGAGAATTTCTCAAAGTAGAAAATGAGCAGCTAAAAACAGCTCAAAGCAATTCTTATGGATATAAAATTGCGTGAAACTACCCTGAATTTAGGTGTAGAAATGATGAACAGTAAACGACATGTAAAGAGGAAACTTGGTCACGTGGTATAAACTCGCCTTTGCCGTTTGACGTAAACGTGATGCTCAACCTCTGTATCTTTCTTCAGTAAATTTTGGTTTTATTTACAGACTGACTTATCCAATGTTGAAGCTCGACTGTGGGGCGTTGGAAGTAAGTTCTACTGCATGACCCTTTTTCATAAATATCAGCTGAAACTTGAAAGGGGTCATCAAAAATCTGTTGATTTCCGTCATGAAGTTTAAACAGCTTGCCTATAACCTTTCTTAAAGTTATCTTTTTGTTGTTGTTTTCTTGTGTTTTGCACCGCACATTCTTTTCTAGCCCTCCTGAAAGTGAATAGGAATTGATGCTAACGTTTGACGAGTCTTATTCCCGTTCTGAGACTCACACATGCGCCGACACCTCACATGCGCCGAATTTGATACCCAGTGATGTTGTTACCCAGAACGATTACATACAAACATACATGTACATGACCTTAATTTCACCTCGTGGAATTTTATAGTAGCTACAATATAATGCTAATATCTTTATTGATGTTGCTCATTGGTAGTAGCATTTGCAAATGCGACGTTCGCTGTATGAAAAAGATTGCGTATTGCGTATTGTTGTGGCGTTGAAGAATAGAAATGCTAATAGCAGAAGAGCTGTCATTAAGAGGCGGGGCCGGGGAATTTCCCCCGGTTACTATGAACGTGTTCCGCGGCTACTTTCAAAGGAAAATAGAACCAGAAGAAGCCCCTAGCTGTTTGATTCGCGGCCTACTTATTGTATTTACCCGGCACCTTGAAATCGTAGTGACAACCCTGCTGACTGCTACTCTTTTTTGTTTGTAGCGTTTGACATCCAGCCATTGTTTAAGTGCAAGGGAACTTTTGTCGGTCACCAGGTATCCTCTATTGTTCTAGAATCTTTCCAATCAGTGAATACTTGAACATCACTCTCCTAACCCCTCCCCTCTCCTTTCCCTACCCCTGCATCGTCAGTGTATTTGATCATAATCATCGTCGTTGTCATTATCATCTGATCGTCGTCGTCGGTGTCGTCTATCATCATCTTTGTCTTCATCTTCAAAAACTTATTAATAATTCATAAAGAAAAAATAAAAGAAATTAATGTTTAATGAGTGTCTTTATATCTGATAAAGACACGGCTAAACTGTACGTCCAATTTTTTTTACCAAAATAATCCCAAATCTGAATATTAGTGCAAGAATGAGTTGATCTACAACAGAGATTTTGAGGCCGTTCAAAAAACTCGCAGTCGTGTGTTTTTTAAACACTCCTGCTCGTTTTTTAAACAGTGCATAATCAACATCATCGTCGTCATCATGTCTCGCGGCGCCAGAAGGCGCGCAAGGCCGTAGCTGTAGTAGACCTTACATTCAATACTCAGCATACCATTGAAAACTTCGCACTGAGAGATATTCCTTTGATTTGCCTCTAGGGTCCCGTATGGACTTTGTGTACTCATGGAGACTGGCTATTTAGCGGTTCATCTGACAAGACAATCAAGGTATGTGTGACAACATGGAGACCTGCTTACTTGTTCATAACAACAGTGTTCTCGTTTACTGCAGAAAAATCGGGACGTTTCATAATTTTTTTCCGCTTATTGCGATCTCGTGGTGGTACAGACAAAACAGAGCTTTCCTTTTCGACTGAAACAATCTCATACAGGAGTCACTTCCTTTATACTGATACAGTCCTGGCATAAGTGTTAGATTTTAATCGTTTAGCTTCGTAGCCATACATGTGGTTGAAGAACCCATGATGAGAACCTGGACCTCTCATTAGAAGTGGGCAATCTTTCGTCGTCTCTACAAGTACCGTAACCCAAGAGCAAGATTTTTGGTTCTGCTTGGCTATGCTTAGAAGTTTGTTCCATCTTGTCTGGAGAGACATTCTAGGATCTTGTTAATGGAGACCTTATTTATTCTAAGACGAGGACGACTAAGGGAACGAGATTTTCGTAATACTAAGTAATGCGCGTGCGTGAACCAGCGTCATTTTGGCGGGGGTGGAAACACTCTTTTCTGAAGTTAGTTTACCATGCAGTCTTGTAAATTCATGATGATTTTCTTTTGTTCAAGGTATGGGACACACTGACGACGTACAAATGCATAAAGACAATGGAAGGACATAGTGGCATTGTATTGGCTTTGTGCACTCACGAGTATGTTAACCATTTACGTAAACTATCCTATCACGACCACTTCTGTATGTCCTCTAATTTTGCTTCTACACCCTGAGTTGTCTGCCACAGTGCTTAGCACTGTTAACGGTCTCATGTTTTCCCGCGTTCAGCAGCGGTTACTTGTTACAAGGTCTCCCGCGCTCGGCAGTAATTTTTTTCCCGCGATTGAAATCTATTCCCACACTCTGGATGCATCCGTATCCAATGGTCTTTCTCGCTCCTTTTATAACCTCTCCCTGCTTTATTTTAGCCTGCGTAGCAAGCGTTTCCGTTTAGTTTCGGAGCAAAAAAAAAAAAAAAACAGGGAACGGGAATTTCTGTTTTGACCGCGCGAGAAATGAAACGAGAGCCATTTTTCGCGCCGTCTTTGACTCTTGTTCCTTGTTCTTTGCTCTTAAACCGCACAGAAACGATTGCTACGCAGGCTAGCTTTATTTTAGCCTAGCTAGCTAGCCTGCGCTGCGGTTGCATAGAAATTTCTGTGCTAGATTAGGGAAAGAGAGGAAAGATACGCGCGTCCTCCTCTTTTCGCGCCATTTTTTCATGCGGGCGCTAGCAGGCATCGTTGATTTGTCCTGTTCTTTGACTATGTAGAACCAAGACTTGTCGTTTTATTTACTGTTTGGACTGTTTTTTTCCTTATACCTTTTTATTAAGCCAGAAACTCAGTATGTCAAACTTTTCTCCTTTTCGTTTTGTCTTACAGCAAAAAGCTCTACAGTGGTTCCGCAGACTGCACAATAAATGTATGTAGCATTGTCAGTCAATGACATTCACATGTAGAAAACGTTGATAATATTTTCTAACTTTTGGTAAACCCATTATAGGGATTTTTCAAGCTTCTTGAGAAGCTTTCATGTTAACGCCTTAATGTTGAAGTATGAAGTATTTTTGTTAAAGATAATTTGATGAAACTAGGTGAAACAGTCTCGTACAATTTCTATTTTTTTGTGTGTGCACTAGGTTTGGTGTTTAGAGGAACTTGAGCTGCTCGACTCTATTCGCGGTCACGAGAACCCTGTCTGCACACTGGTTACTAAACGGAACATGCTGTTTAGTGGATCGCTCAAGAAAATCAAGGTAGGCTGACTGAAAACTTCTTATTTGTTGTTAAAGACTTAGCGAGAAAAACTACTTGCTTACTTACTTGGGGGCGCAAAACTGATTTTTTGTCGCAAGCTGGGCTGCTTCCGCTTGCCAAAGGAGGAGAAAGTACTGGTTTAGGTCGATAACATTTGATGAAGATCACAACTTGACATGTGTGGAAAACAACGCAAAAATATTCTTATTTTTCAGTTTGGAAAATACGTGAAAGACACGGCACTATGTTGTCGTGAAAATTTACATTATCGTCCGAAAAGAAACGAAAAATGAAACCTTCCTCGCTGTCAGAACTATTGAAGTGCCTTTGCCGCGTTTACAGCAAACCCCACCTGGACTTGACCCTACAAATACTTACCGGGCTTTTTCACACAAACGACTGGGAACTGGGATATCCAGGCCCTTAGGAGGACGTTCCAGGCAACCTACAGTTCCTTCTAACTCGTCTTGTGAGTTCTATTTCTCTCGTTGATTTTCCAGGTTTGGAATCTAAAAACCATGGAGCTTATCCAAGAACTAACAGGCCTTAATCACTGGGTGCGTGCGTTGGTGGCATCAGAAAGGCACCTCTTCAGTGGCTCCTACCAAACCATTAAGGTACTTAATTCTTTATGTCCTCACCGTGATTACAGTTTTGGTGCTTTCTGTTAAGCTTTTTCACCCCTTGTGTACGGCAAGTTGAACATTCCCTCGATGTAACTGATTAGACGACACATATTTCAGAGCTGGCTAACAAACTTCCCAAGTTTGATTATTCGGATTTAAAGTTATTTTCCAGGTGTTGCTATTAAAGGCCATATAAACGCGAAAATACAAGTTCATCTTATTGGTATATGTATTGTTTTTTGCCAGTTCGACGTTTCTGAGGCTGCGTACCAGTTGGTTTGAGTCTGTGTGATTAGGACCTAGATTGTTACCATTCAAATAACAGCTACGGAGCAGTACTTCATTGTAGTATTGTGTATTGTGCTGTATATAGAACGTGGTATATTGGTTTCAGCTCACTTAAAACTTAAAATGTTATTTTGCAGTTATGGGATCTAGATACATTAGAGTGTGTTCGAGTCCTTCAGACTTCAGGGGGCAGCGTGTACTCTTTGGCAGTCACCAAGGACTATATAGTATGTGGAACGTATGAGAATCAAATACAGGTAACAGAACTGAGTTCTCTCTTTTTCTCTAAGTTGTAGCTTACTAAATGGCTGTGGAGCTCATAGAGTAAATACAATCAATGACTGATGACTATACCAATAACCGTCCCTTTTGTCTTAAGGTGTATGATATAAGCACACACAAACACTTGGAAACGCTGAACGGTGAGTCACTTGTAGTCACTTTTAATCGCCTCTTGTGGGTTTGGGCGCAACTTCGATAACAATAACACTCGAAATCGAGGGAGACACGTGAAAGGCTGAATTTCACGCGGGCTCATATCCTCTTTTTCGTCACGAAAGCAGCGACGTTTCTTGTTTCGCTGCTTCTCCTCCTCCATGACATTTTCAGTTTTGATTGGTAGTTCAATGAATCCCGAGTTGTTGATGTGTTCGATATTAACGCATGCAAAAAGATTTTTTAGTGCAGCCGGAAACAAATGAGTTTTCTCCATACCAAAAATGTCGTTGTTTCAATAACTTTGGTTATACAAATGGAGCTGGAAAGAGAAGGCGAGGAAAACACATTAATATGAACGACTACTTGTCGTTAAAAAGTGCAAAAATCAATTTTATTTCAGACAATTATTTAAGCCAACTACTTAACTCATTACAATTTGGCTGAAAGAGCTACTCGACAAAATATCATGCGTGAACGTGATAATCCACTGATGCCACACACATTAAATGTCCAGTTCATTAAGAGAAGTAATAATCTTGCCACTATTGTTGGCCTTGATTCTGTTGAATAAGATTTCGTAGAAATCCAGAGGTTTGAAGATGTCGATCTCCAGTTTAGCTTTCTCCTCGTCCGTCAGCTTTTCCCATCCGTCAGCCAAAATTACGTGGTTGCGAGTGTTGCAGTCGTTCCACGAGATTTGGCGGTGGATTTCCTGTTTCTGATTCTGTTTCTGACCTGCTTTTCCTTCTGCTGCTGAATCTAAAACTGGCCTTTGACAGAGTTTGGGTGGGAAATCTATAGGACTTGTCGTGTTGGAGCTGCACTTGCCTCTGCGGTCGCAAGAAACGACGAGCAGTTCAGGCGACTGGCTGCCTTTGTTCTGTGGTTCCGCCATAGCGTACTGGCTGTCAAATTTTGCTCTAGTCGTTGTATTCTTTGTGGATGCGAGTGACTGACTGCTTATCTGTGCCAAGTTAATTTTTTTAAATGGGTCTTGAGGGTCTCATCGCGTTCAGTTGTAATTAGTAAAATAATTAAAGGGATATGTCAACCAGTTACCCTACGTACTTTGATAATATCTCTTGAAATTGTATTGTTTCCTGCAAATTGATAGCGCTATTTTGTAAACATCTATTTATATAACAGCGACGTGTCTTCTGTCCACGTTGATTTTTAATTAGTCGAATGATGTAAGGACTAATTCAACCGGTTATCCTAAGTACTATGATTATTCTTTGAAATAATATTTGTCGAAATTTTATTGTTCCCTCAATGCCAATTGGTAGCGCTAATTTTAAGACATATCATATTACAACGAAATGACGTCTCGTCACGCTAATTGATAATTAGTCCAATAGTTAAAAGACTATTTCAACCGGGTATTCAAGATACTTTTGTTATTTGCTTAACAAAGATCCTTGAAAACTCAAATTTTCAGAACGTTATTTATAGAAGTTTAAAACATGTAATGTGGAAAAGAAAAACGAAAATTACATAATCAAAAGACAATAAAACAGGTCTCGTGGTTGCCTCTCTCTCAGACGAGCAAAAGAACATCTGCGTGGCGATAAAGGTTGGTCTCCGGTCTCGTGCGCCGTCTTGTTATTCAAAAACTTATTAATATTCAGTAGGCATATCGTCTAATCGAATCAGGTGCAAGGACCTATAACCTGGTAAAATTCGTCCAACTAAAAAAGTTAGTGGAGGGAAATTACGGAAATCATAAACATAACATAACATAACATAACATAGACTTTATATATACTCAGATTTTAGGGTAGCTAACAAGCTAATATCTTGATAGGACCATGAGTTTTAGACTAAATAAATGATCGGTAAGGTGGCACATATACAGACTGGCTCGTTGTTGTAATATTTACGTTTTATTTGACGTTGCCCTGAAAGTCGCGCACAAGTCACTTATTATTACAGTAATTATAATGCCATTTACTTTTTTTGTTCTTGTTTTCACGAGTTTGTTTACCTCTTATGGTAGTTCAAATCGTGTTATAGATGTTTCCTTTACAAACGGTGGGTCATGAATTGATAGCCGGTGCGGTTTCTTGCCTGGGCGGTATCCCATATTTTATCACTGATTCTTGTGTTATTATATACATTTATATTTGTATTATTTTTCCATGCCTTTCATTCATCCAACGACGAAAAAAACTGCTGGAAAAGTCGTTAGTCACCGTGGGGGAAGGTGCGATGAGACGCGAAAGCGTGAGAAGAGACAGTGAGCAATGCACTTGTCTTGACTTGATTTCTTGATTACAAGCGAATTGTAGGAATCAGAGCGTCCCCGTCGACACCAATGCATTTTCGTTTCAAAACGCGTACATTTCGATGCGTTCAGGCGTTCCGTCCACACTCAAATCCGCTGAGCGTTTTCATCGAAAACGCTCTTGAAAGTGGATCAAAACGAAAACGCATAGATATCGTATTAGTGCGGACGGTCGAAAACGCATCAAAATGAAAACGATGACGTCATATGTACCACGTGCGTCGTAAAATATCGCAGGCGCGTGTGTTTGTAACATGCGCATAGTGTTCAACTTGCGTAACAACGTGCAAATCTATCGTTTTAGTGTTCACAGTCGAAAACGCATCAAAACGGTAGTGTGGACACGAATCGATCGATGCGCTTTCGATGAGAACGAAAACGGATCCTTTTGAAAACGCATTAGTATGGAGAGGGCTTAAGTCCTAAATATGACCTTAATTTGCCCACTTCAAATCCCTTGAATTGTAGCCAGCCCGACTTCACGTTTTACGAGAGTTCTTGTTTTAACGGAAATAAACAATTATTGGATGAGGTTTTGTAATTTCTGGAATAATCAATATCGAGGAAAATGTTATCAGCCGAGCCGAAGGCCGAGGCTGATAACACTTACCGAGAGTACCGTAATTACAGTAATTAAGGCCATCAAGTAATCCCATCGTTGTTGTTTGTTTCAAACGAGTCTTGCTACGTCGATGGCTAATTAAACTCGGTGCGCCGACGCTTGCAGAAAAACCTCTGTGCTACCCGATTGACAAATTTTCTGTCTTCTCTGTTCGTTTAAAAAAAAAAACAGTAACAATAGGGCTCTAAATGTTTTGCATTGTATTTTCGTAGGAAGAAAAGGGATTGCCTTCTCAAAAACTTATCTTATTACAATATTTTTATTATTATAATGGAACAGGAAAGAGGAACATTACAATAGTATAAGCAGAAAAAACAAGGCGGGAGCGACCCGTTTGTTAAACATAGGTTGCTGCCATAAATATTACATAAGTTCCAGTTCATTAAGAGAAGTAATAACCTTGCCAGTATTGTTGGCCTTTATTCTGTTGAACACTGAGATTTCGTAGAAATCCAGAGGTTTGAAGATGTCGATCTCCAGTTTAGCTCTCTCCTCGTCCGTCAGATTTTCCCATCCGTCAGCAAAAATTACTCGGTTGCGAGTGTTGTAGTCGTTCCTCGAGATCTGTTCTGTTCTTAAGAATGAAAATTCTATGAAAATTACTGAAATATTGGTAAAAGGGTAAAGAACATGGTTACCTCAAGTAGGTAGCGACGGCAACGACAGTGAAGACGTCGCTTAAAAAGTGAATTCGCGTTCTTTCGATCTTTTTCGCGTTTATTCCAACTCGCCTACTTTGTCAAATGTAGTCAAACTCTCTTGAAGTTGAAGTCGTGCAAAGAAAAGTAAAAAACAGTGTGATGAAAAATGTTTAATGTATTTGCAAAGTTTTCAAGTTTTGATTGTGTTTTACTGGCCCTATTTACACCATTTGTTGACAGTGTCACCAAGTTTGTGTATTTGGCTGTTTTTTCACTGGAGTGTCGCACCTGAAACTTTAGGGCTCATAATCAACAAACAAGAAAATTGCCAATACTAAGTTTGTTCTTTCCAGAAAACAGAAAAACGATTAAGGCTTTTCGCGTTTATTCCAACTCGCCTACTTTGTCAAATGTAGTCAAACTCTCTTGAAGTTGAAGTCGTGCAAAGAAAAGTAAAAAACAGTGTGATGAAAAATGTTTAATGTATTTGCAAAGTTTTCAAGTTTTGATTGTGTTTTACTGGCCCTATTTACACCATTTGTTGAGGTGTTATCCCTTATCCTCTTTCTCGTCACCAGTAGTTTGTGTATTTGGCTGTTTTTTCACTGGAGTGTCGCACCTGACACCGACTTTAGGGCTCATAATCAACAAACAAGCTTTCCAAAATTGCCAATACTAAGTTTGATCTTTCCAGAAAACAGAAAAACACAGTTAAGGCACTCAACTCTTAATCTGAAAACAGTAACGGTATTTCGGGCTGTCCATATAGTTAGTAGATATGGGCTGTTGTTTCGCGTTTCGCTTTAAAACATACAGATCTCGCGCAGTTACTATTCGGTGTTCGGTAAATCTTTAATTTGCTATGTGTGAATTTGCGTAACATGACAGATCTCGCACAGCTTTTGAACTTTGAGGAGAGTTTCCCTAAATTTTGAAAGAGTAGTCTTCGGATTAGACTTAAGCATCCAATTTGATTTAATTTGTTCATTCGACTTATTTGGACGAGTTGCCTGCACAAGGGGATCTCAAACTCTCTTTGTTGACTGCCATTGTGGGTTAAGTTTTTTGAGGAACCGTAAGAAAGACAATCAGTTTTATTTCTATATATTTATTTAACTTTTTAAATGTATATTTACAATTTGATCAGCTGGTGTATAAGCGTTGGTGTTCACTAGCGAAGTATAAATTAATTAGTAAAGACCTCTCAGTCAAAAGTAAATCAAATGCACGCAAAATTTTTCCGTTTTAATCACACCCTTTTTCGCTACAATTCAACGTGGTACTCATTGTCTATTCCTTCAAAATTTTTGTTATTTTTACCATTGTTATTGTTCCAACTTCTTCTTACGATGGGAGTCAAAAAGTATATCTTATTTGTCGTGTTACATTCTACTCGTGTAGACCCGCTCAGTTCTCACGAAATATGCTACGTGCACAAATTGTCCAGTTCACTCAGAGACGTAATCACCATGCCACTGTCGTTAGCCTTGATTCTCTCGAACAAGATTTCGTAGAAATCCAGGGGTTTAAATATGTCGATCTCTAGGGCCTGTATTTCTTCTTCGGACAGATGTTTTGCTTGTTCTGTGAGTGAGTCGCTGCGGTGGAAAAAATAAGCTTTTGATCTGTCGTACGCCACCGGTTCAGATCCGCTTCTATTCCTTTTCTTCGGGGCGCTGTCGTTGTGGCCGTACTGTGTCCTCGACGATGGTATAGCGGGTTCGCTGGACGGCTTGTCGAGTGGCATACCCAACTGCGGCTGTTTTTCAGTGCCTCGTGGTGGTTTTGCCATACAGTCTGAGTTAGCTCGTGGCTTAGGATCTAAGGGAACTTGTAAAGGGTCATTTGTTTCCGCTTGGATTGTCTCCAGTCTGTCCATTTTGCTCTCGATCACGGTTCACTCTCTTTGCTTAGTCTTCGATTGTTAGATCTTGTCTTTTGGTTGTTTGCCAGTATTTTTGAAGGAGGATTTAAAATCTTCTTCTTCTTTTAATCCTTTTGAGGATCACGTGGTATGCGGGCTGCCGACGTCGTTGTTTTTTACCTTCCTTGTATAAGTCGTGCTGCGCACGAAAACAAGGAGGAGCACAAAAAATCTGAACGTTTTGTTTTATGATGAGCAAGAAAAATCTGAGCGAAGCGCAATTGGTGTTGAGGAAGTCTTAAACTAAAATTTGAAAAAACTAAATTAAATTTACATGCAACAATTTGGCGTGTATTTTTCAAAACAAAGTATTTATAGTTAATTAGTTAGTATCGGTAATTTTTAATGCAATTAGCGTCCAAAACAGTCGAGTTGAGGGAAAACAACAACAACTCGATCCACACAGCGAGACTCGTTTTGTTTAATCAGCGACTCATTTTCACTCTTGTTAGATTTGTAAATTAAATGCTAGTTTTTGAAATCAGTCAGAGTCATCGCAGTAAACGCGTTTTGAAAACACTGTCCACCTAAATACAAGAACAAACATTTTTTTTTCGTATATATTCGCTTTTGATTGGCTGAGAAAAGATCATGCGTCGTTTCTCGGCCAATCGAAATGTAGTGAAAACCATTCGTGTTTTGTCTACACCCAGCCCAGGTTTTCGACTTAAAATAAAGGGGTGCCTTAGGGTGCGACTGATATAATCTTAAAAAACAAGAAATATTGTGTAAATTTTAGGGAACTGGAACTCCTATAATTCCCAGAAAGTATCCGAGAGGCAAGAGACCTTCAGGGCGCTTCGGACACGCGCGTAATGTGCACAATTTATAAGCAGAGGAATTTGAACACACATCCAGCCACAGAAATGAATTTCATAATCCGAAAGCACTAATTTTCTTAATGCATACCCTTTCGTTACCTAAAATTAATAACTGTGCCCAATATTCATATTTAACTTGCGTTGAAAAATGACGATTATTAGGGAGAAAGACCGATACCTTGCGAAAGTGTCAATATAATACACCGTGGTCGTGGGGTGCATACCACCTAGTCTACACCCATTTGGGTGACTTACCGAAAAAAAATGCGAGTTTTTCCCTTTTCCTGTGTTTTTCTGATTACCCGGCTGGGATAATGGCCAGTTTCAATTGAAAATTTATTTACCCATGTTTTTTTAAACAAACTCAGACCCCATTTTCACGGGTCCGGACAAATTTTTGAACGGACAAACACTTGCACGGATGCGCCTTTCGTTTACACGGGACCCGCGGAACCGTGCAGGTTTTTAAATGGCAAACATTACTGCAATCTGTAACGCGTTTTGCACAGTTTCGTGTAAAGTTGCACAGGTAAAAAATTCGTTTCGTTCTAAAATTTGTCCGGACCCGTGTGAACAGCGTCTTACTATATAAATTGGTGTCTGATTGCCCTAAAATGATAGAAACCACTTTGGAAGTATAATATAATAAGTATAGTATAGTCTTGAATAATTTTCTTTCTTTCCTCTTACCAGGTCACGTTGGTATAGTGTATGGTCTTGCTGTGTTAAGCGCCCCTGGGCAGACGCGTTTGTTCAGTGCTTCATATGACAGATCACTCAGGGTAATTTGATCAGATGAGTTCACGCTATGTCTGCAGGATTTGTTAAGTTTGAGAACTTCTAAGGACTCATTTGTTTACACCAGTCTAGTCCCCAGGCGTTCTCGGCTCGGTCAGTTCTGGACTCTCCCGTGAGCTGTGACGTTACCGAGGGAGACTGGTCCACCCTTTCCAAGAACGGTCTCCAGATTGACCCCCCTCTAACTAGATAACTAAAACGAGTGCATGGAAACAGAGTCACAGATTAATCTGAGACTTTTGAACTTCCATTCTATGATAGGTGTGGAATCTAGAAAGTTTCACTTGCGTCCAGACCCTTTTACGTCATCAAGGGAGCGTGGCTGCTTTGGCATTCAATAAGGGCAGGATATTCTCTGGAGCGGTGGATAGCACAGTTAAGGTGAGAAGAGTTTCTCGCGCGATAGATAGTCTGCGAGCAAACTCTCCATTTGGGGGAGTCACGAGAAGTCACGCGAGACCCGCACGCGAAAGGAGTCGCGAGTGAGAGGAACGGACCTTTGTCGCTCGCTCGCGCGTTCTCTCAAGGCTCGCTTCGCTCGCCATGATTGGAGAGCGCATACTCCAGGCTATACGATACACTTTTCCACGGTTTTTTTGAACTTTTGACTGGGACCAGTTAGTAGAAATCCGTTTAAACAGCAGGAAAGAACGCCTTAAGGTTAGTAATGTTGTCAAGTTTGACAGTCATTTGGTGAAAACTAACAAAGACATAGCTTTGCAAAGTCACCAAATTTACAGACGTTGGTGTAGTGGTGGTGGTGGTGGTTTGGGTGGATGGGTTGGGGCAAGGTTGTGCCTTTCTCTCAAGTAGATTATTAGAAATGGTGTGGTTTAATGTGATCACCCATTTAAACGTTTGAAAGTTCGTTCTTATCATCAGAAAGCAAGGAAGACAAACTTGGACATAATATTCAAGTTGGCAGTAAAAATTTAGGTTACTTTAAACCCTGTTCCCTCAAAGCGATTTACGGTCACTTCGTCAACAAGTCATTTCGTTCCGTGCCAATTTTTTTGACTCGTCGTTCGCTCGATCTCCTAACATAAACGCTGCCACATTCTCAGTCGTACATTTCAAAATTTTTAGATTAAACGTGTTGAAATGGAGTTCTAGTTTTAGCAGGACCCGCGAAACGAGGAAAGAAGCTAACACATCTCAGACAATTGGGAGAACTTTGACTTTGAAATGTTTCTATATTTGAAAGAATACTGAGCTTTCGAGTGTACTGCACAGTCTTCATCAGCAATAAAAACTCAGTGTTGTCCCCTGAATTAGTCACGTGTCAACACATGAGTAAAACGCTAACTAAAACCTATTGAGACTAGAATTTGTGTATTCAATTTTCATTTCCAAGCTGAAGAATGAGCATTTATGGAATTGTTTCTACATACTTTTTTAAATACATGTAACTAGTAGAGTGGTAAGTAAGATCCCTGTTTGAGACTGGGAACGAGTGTGACACGTCACCTGATCTTCTGTTAACTGTTCATTTGTTTTCTAGGTGTGGCAGTGATGTGAAGTTGAGCCTGTTTATTCGGACACTGTTTTGTGTTTACCTGCGGTTGCGTTGGTACATGCCCTAGACTTGCTTTTAACAAGTGATCTACAGAAACTATCCCCGGCACGAACTTTTCTATTAAATATGGAGGGAAGATGTTATCGAGTCTTCTGCAGAAGGCTGAATCTGCTTAGTTCCCGAGCTCATCGGGAAAAATAAACTGTAGATACGAGACTCCTGACCGAGGTTGCTAACCAATAGTTGCTTCTAAGCAGCATGATTCAGCCCATCTGTCACGTGGAGTGATTAAGAAACCATTTAATCACTTGTGCGAGAAATTATCAAAGGAGGTGCTTGTTTCCCCAGTCTGGGTTGGGAAATATTCTTGCTATCCCGCTTTGATCAAATAAATTGTACAAGGAGAATGGAGAAGTCTCTGTACCTTTACCGAAGAGCTGACCAACAAATAACTCGTGTCTTGAAAAGTTTCTTTAGCCGGTTAACTTTTGTTTTATGCTTCCTGAGAACAAATTCGTTTTAATCCATAGAGATTTTTAGGTTGTTAAAGTTAAACTAGACTGGAAGAATCCGAAAAAGAAACTAATATAATAAGGGAGCTTAACCCTTTCACTGCCAGAGTGTTTGATAGAGTTTTGTAAGGTGACTCTAACTTTTGAGTCTATGGACGAAATCCTATGATGTCACCATTCAAATGAAAGCCCTCTGCCTGTACTTTCACATGATGCTATTTGTTTGTCGAAATTTTAGAAAATGAAATTTGGAAATTTGCTCGAAATTTGCCTTTGGCCACATTTGGCAGTGAAAGGGTTAAGAACGAAAACGGCGACGGTAACGACGACAAAGAATTTTCGTTCATCGTAGATGCGCCCTACGACTTCAAATTTCCTCATGCGAAGTTTCACATTATAGACTAAAGCGAAATTATCTCACTTTCTGCGGCTTTTTCATTTGAAACGCCTCCATAAAAATTCGCCTTTAGTCGGCAAGATAAGCGAGTTCGAATAATCACGTTAAAGTTTGAAAGAAGCCGAATTTTTTATACTGTTTACCTTTTTTGATGCTTACGTCGTTTTGGTTGCTTAAGCTCACCAATGTATCTCCTAGTCAAACAGATTACTCTCACACAACGTCAATCTTTGCGTTTTATTTATTCACTTTTTTTGTTTAGCCACGAAGATAATCTTGTAGTATTTTCTACTACAATAGACCTTTTTACCGATACAGCGGCCATATTGAATTAATTCGATTTAAGGAGTATTATAGGATGCCCAGGGTGCCGTGTTTGGATGTGATAATGATCGCCTTTTTCCCGAGAAATATGCAGTGAAAGACCTTATTTCTAATACTAAACTAGAAAAAGGCGATCATTATTACATCTAAACACGGCACAAGGATCTTTCTTCCCATTACAACCTTATTCTAAGAAAACTTTACGAAAAAATGTCCCGAAAAGCGCTAGTAAATACAAACGAAATGTGCTCATGCCCCCTGGGCATCCTATAATACTCCTTAAACTGAATTAATTCAATATGGCCGCCGTATCGGTAAAAAGGTCTAATCGCCTCTTTAGAAACGAGAAGGGACACTGGCTGGACCTTTCGCAAAGGCATCTGGGACTGTTACTAGGGAAAAGGAATAAAAATTGGCCAATAGCTGACTGCCGCGTCCCCAGTAACGAACCCAGAGAGAATTGCGGGATGCATTTCCTTTCTCGTTTCTTAAGTAGCCAATAGTGCTGAACTTATCCTTTCGGGAAAGGTATGTTGTCTTCTTTCCTGAGTGGACCGGTAAAAAGATGAAGCTAACAAGTTTACTCTGCGGTATACCAGAGGCTCAGAATGCTGTCAATCTCGTAGACAATTTCATAGACAGTGCAATCTGGCATTCCTTTCCTGGAAATTTTTACGTTAGGCCAAGAGCTGTAATTTGTTCTTGGTCAACCTCGTTCCCAGGGTTCTCTCCTGCCCGTCCCTAGGGAGCGAGAGCGACGGGCAGGAGAGAGAACGTGGGAACGAGGTGTCGATGTGCGGCTTAATCAATAAAAATGGTGTTTTGTAAACCCCAGAAATGTTTCTCGCCAATTAAAACATTCAAGATATTCCAGTTAAGAATAGTGATAATCTCAGAAATCTTTCCTGTACTTTTCTGGTGATGTAGCAGCTACTCGGAAGCTGAAAGCCAATTGGTTTGCTACCCAAACCGGAAAACAATGGTAAACAATGAATTACCATTGTTTAAAAGAACGAATCAGCTAAGACCTTACAAGCAACTCCTCCTACCTTACCGACTTTTCTGTCGTTTTGTAACAGTTGCGTCAACATGAGATCGAGGCCGGATAAAAACCATATGCATGTACAAAGATGATAGGCTAGATCAATAGGCCATTTGCATGATGGCGTCATTTTACTACTATGACCAGGATCCTTTAGGATTTTGCTTTCTTGTGCAAACTGGGGCTTTTGTTATTTAAACCTCACTGGGATTACCAAATTTAAATATGAAAAGAAAACCGAAAAGAATTCTGGTCGTAGTAGTAAAATGACGCCATCGTGCAAATGGCCTATTCAGCCGCTGTTCGGGAAAGTGAACCCGTAGGAACAAAGACCGGACTTGAGAAAGTGGGGGAAATCTAGCCTACAGAGATTACTGAAAATATAAATCATGCCTATCCATTTACTTTATCAAAAGTAAGCGAACCCCCGCCCCTCCGCCCCTCCCCCTCTGCCCCGGAGTCAGCAGCCCTCCTGCCGGAGTTGACTTCGTAGTACCCCAAGCGACAACAATCCCACCAGTTACGCGTTCTTTGCACACTCTGCCTAAGCGTTGCCTAAGCGTAGGAGAGGGGAGGTTTCCTCTGTTTTTTTTAAATTTACGGTTACTCCAACTTTCGCGCTCCCCACTCCCACCAGCCTACCCCACCAAAAAGTGATAGAGGAAAAGAAAGCTTTGCTGAGGGACTGGGTACAAGGTGCGAGTTCAATTCAATATGGCCGACGTCTCTGCTCGACCGGATCAAGGTGAGTGTAATGAAAAACTATAAAAAAAATTGGCTTAATTAGAACATGATTATAGTTTATACAGTAAACATCATACATCGAAGATACTTTTCTGGCCTTTATCTGTTTTTATTTTGGGAAAGAAAAGTTCATCTCGTGGCCGGTGAAACAAATCAAACTACAATGTAGACTGTGCCATCAGCTGAGCACTGGTTTGCTTGAATGCCCGCGGGGAAGGCTCTGGTCGCATGGCGACAAAACTTAAATATCGTCTCAGCTTCATGAGTTTTGTGACCTTTGATCACTGCAAATTACAGGGTTGATGTAGTTGGTGGCCTTGTTTGTATTTTCAATTTTGTGTGGGACGATTGATGATGGTGCAGGTGGATAGTGGGACCAGATTTTCAGGGTGCAAAGAAAGTCAGTTTTACAGCCCTTCATTCGGGCAAGCTGTAACTAGCATGTACTAGCCCACAAGTCATTTCAATTTGCCCCCAAACCCTTTTTGATTAGCAGGATTGATTACAATCATTCTGTAATTTGAATTTCCCAAAAAACAGCTCAAACCTGTTGTGGAAGTTAAGAACAAAAATCACTAGACCGATAGCAAAATCCACTAGCCCGGGGCTGTCGGACACGACTTTCTTTGCACGCTGATTTTCATGGGAATTTTTGGGTCAACGTAAATTATTTGGCTTTGTGCATTTTTCCCCAACCAGCCTGTCTGACTAAATGGTTTTAAAGATCTCTTCTTCTGCTTAAGTTAGTTGTCTGAAACTGATGATGTCATGAGCTGAGCGATATAAGGGATGTGCATCCGAAGAGGTGATTATGGGAAGATCAGGGGCAAATGTGTTGATCAAAAGTACCAAAATTTGTCCCTTGCTGCCTTTTTTCATCCGCTTTGGCCTTTTTGTGGACGGATTTGATTGTTTCATGCCTAAGAGTGGATTTTTTCAGAAATCTGGATGCTTTTCTTTAAGGAAGACTAGAATGCACTGTTTGTGTATATTTGCTTGGGCTATCTGCCCAGAGTTCTGAGGTTCAAGTGAAATCCACCATCATCCTTCTTTTTGTGTACTCTGTAATCTAACAGTGGTGGATCCCGGGGAAGGGTCTGTGGGGTCCGGACTCCTCCTGACGCTTGTTTGAGACTGAAACTCTTTCATTGACAGGTCGGATATCACTTTTTAACTGACTGATTTTTTTAATGAAACGCGCATTGCATTTTGTCACTGGACTAAATTCCAGGGATATTCAAAAATGTAATTGTTTTTGGGTACCCTCCTAGGATCTGTTCGCCTCTGCTCGCAAAGCAGTATTTCCAGTGCCAATGGCAACCAACATTTACAGATTGAGAAACACATGATTGTCTCTGTGAGAAGTAATTTGCCAGAAAAAAGTTCAACAGTCCTTTCTGAACCAAAGTTTGGACCCCCCAATAAAAAATTCCTAGATCCACCTGTCTAACTACTGACCTGATTAAAGTAATTTGTAAGATTATGTGTAGGAAGTGACTCAAAAATTTTTAAGCCCAACAAAACCAAATCTAAATGGTGCCCATTTTTCTCAAATACTGTTGTTTCTTACTTTTTCCTCTTGAGATCAGGTGCAGTAAAGGTAGCTGCTTTTTTAGATTAATGGCGAAGTTTTCAGAGCCTCGTTTCTGGAATCATGGCATCTAGAGAAGCACCAATCCTGTTGCCCGAGCTGATACAGAAGATTGCTCTGTTTTTGCCACTTCCAGATGTCAGCAGATGCATGCAAGTTTGCAAGCTATGGAAGGTAAGCAACTGTCAATTATTTTGAGTTCCCAAGCCAAAATTACACCTTTTGCTGTTCATTGGGAGAAAATACGCATTCATTTGCGCGAAACGGCAACCAACAGCGCGAAGATACATTCATTAGCGTGAAAAAGTGAATATTTGAGCATAAATCAGATTCAATAACGATTTTTGCATTTTAATCAACATTCAATAACATTTTTGGGCATTCATTTGCGTCATTCGACATACAAAAGAGAAAACTATACTTTCATTAACACCAACATTCGAGTCATTAACATTACTGAAAATCATTAGGGACAATAGACAAACATTTAAGGGCAAACGCTATTCATGAACATTTTTATGACACTGTCTGCAATTCAATAGCATTCCTGGACATCTTTAGAATGGATAAGACAAGCATTAATGTGCTTGTACAATCAATTGAGCGTTCTTTACATTTAATATACAAAAATATATTTTTAATCTTGTCTCTCTACCAGTATGTCCCCTATCAGTTGGTAGGGGACGTAAGAGTACCCACACTGCTCAGTGTTCATTTAGAGTAGGGGATGTTAGGCCCCAGTTGTGTGTTCTATGTATCTCTTATGGGGAAAGGGGACTGTTACCCGCCCACAGTAATAATTAGCTTCATGCTGTTGCAGTGACCCTTCCAAATTGGCAAATCTAAACAAAACTGTTTTGTAAAGTTTGTACTGACAGACACTGATCCACGTCATCATCTATACTGATCCATTGATCCATGTTGCCTTAATATTTCTCTTTATTTCAGGAACTTCTTTCATCAGAGCAGTTTTATAAAAGATATGTATTAAGCCATTTTAACCTGGAACTTGAAGAGCAGCCATCAGGTCTTCTAAACATGTGGACGGATCCTGATAATTGGTTTTGTTACTGGGCGCGAAGGGGTGATCCTAATTATTGGGTCTTTGCTGATCCACCCAAGCGCTGGAATTGTGGAGTGGTTCATTTGGCAGAATATGAACTTGAGACACATCGTGAGCTGAGGTATAAAGATTTCTGTCGTGCTCTTTACATTCTGTCGAGGATACAGAAGGCAGCAGAACCAGAGGAACTACGATTAGACTGTAGTAAGTGCTTCAATCCAAAATTCAAATGCATTACACTCAAACTATCAAAGTGATGTTGCATACTTTTTAAACTTAAACAAACTAATCATTTCCTTTGCACTATGGGAACTACAGTGTTCTAGTGAAAGTCATTGCCTTATTTATACAAGCAAAAATAATTAAAAGAATGTTTGTGATGCTAACATGAGCATTCTCTCCCCACAATAATATACTACAGCCAAATCTCCAGTAACAGACATCTCCCATTAATGTTGATTTCTGACTGATTCGTATTTCCCTTGTCACTTGCTTGTCAGCAGTAATACATAATTTTCTCAGTTCTTACCTAATTTGTTGCCCCCTTTTCTAGGGATGACAAGTATGAACAGGTGAAATATTAATTACCTCAAGAGCCCAGCTCCCATTCCATAGAAATACTGGTAGCAAATACAAGGCTTTCATTAACCCATTCGCCCCTGAACCGCCCATAACCGCCCGTGCGTATCCAGGTCCTTTCTACCCTTTGTGACGTCATCAGTTTTAATGGTCAAGGGCAACTTTCTTCGCTAACTTGTGCAGAGTGAAGAGATCTTTCAAACCATACCAGAATGAGCACAATTCAGTCAAGGACACCGGAGAAAGAAGCAAAAAACCACGTGACATTGACCTGAAAATCTCCATGAAAATCTTGTTCCATTACCCACCTACCTTTCCTTTCACCTAATCCTAAGATCCTAAAAGCTTTCCTAAAAACTCTTCCCACCAAAATAAAGCCTACTAAATGCCCAGCAAGAGCAAAAAAAAATGAGGCAAGAAAAGCGAAAAAAGAAGGGAGGAGAGAAAGCGAAAAGTAAAAGTCAAGACTGCTGTGTCTCGAAATTTTGCTTTCTGCGCATGCCCGAACTTCGCAAGCTGATATTTTGCATCTGGATCAGAAGGCCACGAAGTGTACGACCTGTAAACCGGTTTGTGGTAAGTTTTAGTTCTTTATAACACGACAGTGACCAGAAAACCACTCGACTAGCTTCAAAACGCGTTTTTCGGCAAAATCTCCAGGAGCGAATGGGTTAAGAGCCGGGGGCCAGGGATTTTCCCCGGCTAGTGTGAACGTGACTCCTGCCTACTTTAGTAGGAAAATAGAAGAAAAATAGAACCAAACAGTATCCCAGCTGTTTGATTCCCTGCCTACTTGTATTGTTTACCCAGCAACCCAGCAGAGCCCAGCTCCCATTCCATAGAAATACTGGTAGCAAATACACTGAAGGCTTTCATTAAGAGCCGGGGGCCAGGGATTTTCGCCGGCTAGTGTGAACGTGACTCCTGCCTACTTTAGTAGGAAAATAGGAGAAAAATAGAACCAAACAGTATCCCAGCTGTTTGATTCCCTGCCTACTTGTATTGTTTACCCAGCAACTTGAAATTTTAATGACAGCCTTACAGATAAATAGCTGATCACTTCACATTGTGGAAACTGAACATATTATTGCCTTCTTGATTTACTAGTCAGTTGGTTTATCATACCGTTAATCATGTTTTTTTTTTTTCTGCTTTCAGTGATTTGGGGTAATGAGGGTGTTGGCCTCATTGAAACCTGTTTGTTTCCTTGGAGCAAAGACTCTCTGCCCTCTGCACAAGATATGATGTCAATGTTCCACTTCAATCCTGAGATGCACAAAAACCCAATGGAAAAAACTGATATAAGAGGGATGAAAGTTGAAGGCGATGTCAGAGGACATGTGAGCTGGAACACGCTGCACAGCTCCTATGATGTGGATATAAGAAAAGCTTGCTCTTTCTTTGAATGGCTTCAACAAATATTTTCACCCTGTGTTCGCATAGGTATTGGTTTAGAAAGTATGAATCCCATCCCTTGTTTTATTTTGACACATATTGCACCTGGTTGGGTGGGAGGAATTTTATCATGTTCAACTTGTACCTAAAATGCCTTCTGTTTTGCCAGTTGCTGAAAGAAAGTGAGAAAACAACAGATCAATGTAGGTTTCTGGGAAACCACCCACCTACCCCTCCCATAACCCAACATTTTGCCCCAAGTGAGACCCAAATATTAACGCTGAGTTAGGGGAGGGGTAGGTGGGTAGTTTCCCTGAAACCGAAATTGATCCAAAACCACTTTACAGGAAGTTCCTGTTGAATGGCTGTTTAAAAAGGCCACACTTAAGAATTTTTGAAATTGACAAACTTCAAAGTGGGGGTAAACTCACATTGCAAGCAGAGCCTTCTTTTGTCTTGTTATTGATCTACGAGGAGAAAGGGAGGCTCTGTCTGAATCTTTTCAAACCTTTGTAGCAGCGGCAGCTCTCTGCAGCGCAAACGTCTGTACTAATCAACCTTGTTTCACCTCATCCAACTGGTTTTTCAGGTGCAAGCACCCGTTTATTGCTAAACCAATGGTCATATCTGGCCCGCTGAACGACATGTATTTGAGACTGTATCCTAGCAACATAAAGTGCATGGCCTCAACAAAGATCTTCGTCAATTCATGAAATAATCAGGGCCTCTGATATTTCGCGGAAAAAAAAGCAAAATTTCGCGGGATTTTCAGGGGCAAATTCGCGGAACAATCGGCCGATTTCGCGGGATTTTAGCGCAAAAAAGTCAATTTTCGAAGGATTTTCAGGGGCAAATTCTTAGAAAAATCGGCCGATTTCACGGGAAATTTCGGGGGGAAACTTCGCCGAGAAACAATCAGTAAAAAACAGCCAATTTCGCTGGATTTTTTTTGGCAAATTTCGCTAAAATCGATCAGTTTTGCGTCGATAGGGCCAGCGTTGGTGAACGTTTTATTTAACAGGGATAATCATTTGCTCGTTCAACAACAGTTCGCTCGAGAAATGAGCAAATGTTAAAGCTATTAACATTATGGTTACTGCCCAGTTTTTCACAACGTTCATCTGAAAACGCCTGGTAGTTTTGGGACGTTGTTTACTCGTTGCAGTGACGAAGTTTCAAGCTAAATTTGGACGTTTGGGGTGAATAAAACCGGTCTAATAGCCAAGATAAGCATTAAATATGTTTTGCCGACATGTATTTGAAAAATATTTCTGGCGGATTTCGCGGTATTTCGCGTTTTTTGGGGAATTTCGCGGGATTTCGCGGAAATACCTGAAATTCGCGGGTCCGCGACCGCGCGAAATATCAGAAGCCCTGAATAATGGTGCAAGCGAAAGAAAGGCTGGCAGGATGGAGTGAAATATGTTGGATAAGGTACCGGTATATATCATATGGAGCAATTATTGCTCCATATGATATATACTTACATCTCTTTTAATTATCCTTTGAGCAAGAATGATGCAAATTGGTTTTTGAGATAGGAAGGTCGCCCCATGTAAAGTAATCTGGATTCCAGAATCTGGGAAATTTTTGCTTTTGTAATCCAGAATGCTACCTTTTCTAATTCAGAATACTGCTAATACCTGGAAACTAGCCTGAGGAGTGGGCCAGCCAGGCTAACTCAACCCATATAAACAGGCCTCAAGTATCAGGCCTTCCTTAGGTTTTAGGGGAAGGGGAGAGGAGATCACTTCTCACACACACACACACACACACACACACACACACACACACACAGAAATGCTTCATATTAACGCTAATTAGAATCCGGAATCCAAGTTCCACCAACAGGGAATCCAGGATCCAAGACTGTCTTGGATTTAGTCTTACTTGGGGCGAAATAGGAAGGGGGAAGATTAAGAGCCATCAATTAACCCTACATGAGAATCTACTACAGGTCTTGGAATCAGATCTTGTAATGAAAAACCGTCATTAAACTCACACTAAGAACACTACTTTGTTCAGGAAACTATTGCATGGTCTTGCTCTTCTTGCTGAACAAAAACAACATTATGAGTGCAAAACGTTTACCTAGTTTCAAGTTTAAAAATAGTATGATCAAATGTTTTTTTTTATTCCACAAATAACATGTGTTGGATCCATTTTGCATCGCTTAGAGGATAAAATAGGAAAACTCCCGTGTGTGTGTAGATCAAACTTCGAAGGGAGAATTGTCTTTCAACACTAGAAATTAACATGCCCACGTGCACTCTCATTAAGACCTGATTAAGACCGATTAAAAATGGTGTACATTAAAGCAACAAAACGTACAAGGAAGTAAGGTTTATTTCTTGAGAACTGAACCCGTGAACACATCAATAGTTCAGTTTTGATCATGTTTTTAAAACGGTTACGCAACTTGAACAACACAGAACAACTCATAGGTATACAGCTATGTGCACGCGACGATCCCGAAAGGTAATATGGGATATATCGCTTACTTCGATTCGGAAAAGCTACATGTGATCAATACACTGTTCCAGACACTGTAGCTGTCAAAACTTCTTTTGTTGCTTTCCTTTGGCACGCGCAAACATACGTCCATGGCCTCTCGTGCCATTCTTTCAAATTTCGTTGAAGAACAGCAAACTCAAAACCACCCACAATACCTTTCGGGATTGTCGCATGCACTTTTTCCGACAACCTTTCTCGAAATAGCTGTATATCTGCCATGTTGTCCCCTTTCATAAGTATGGATATTATTTCCAAGCACTGTTATCCAGTTAAGAAGTGGAAAGTGTATGAAGTTTAACTTATTTCGTTTCACTCTAGATTTCGATCAGCACGAAAAAGTAGGCTATCGGTTAAAACTGTATTTCTAACTTGGAAAGGGTTCAAACTTAGCTTAATCTAAATCGTGATGGGAGAATTTATTCTAATTTTAGGCATTGTCCGAGATTTATACGAAAAGACATTGAAATGTTTACAAGCGAGACAAGGGTGAAGAAAAACGTACCATACAGCAGTTAATACATCTTTCAGTGGGTAAATTTATAAATTAGTAATTATTAAATCGTTTTTCTTTCTTATAAATATTCCAGAAAATTAATGTACAATCTCAGTAATGTTGACCTTATACTGAGGTGTATA